CACCGAACTGTGATCATACATATCAGACGAGTTTGCGATCGACCTCGTTCGCTTCCTATTGCTTTGGCCCTGATAGCCAATTTCAGGGGATCAAGCCTGCCATCTTGGATAAAGTCGTAACTGCGATGCTGAAACAAAGAGCGTTTTTATAGGCAATTGTTGTTAGAGCATCTCTGCAGACATGGATGGAAATTCTACTGTTTCAAATGTACCACATAGCTCTCCTCTCCGGATCAATGAACTTCGGGACCTGGAAGATATCATAGTTACAGATGATTACTGATGGGAGAGGGTTACACAGTGGAACAAAATAATCGAGAAAGATTTCTGCCAAATTACAGGAGGGGTGCAAAAAGGGTTGTGGGCACGGCTCGTATTAGGTAGAATTTTCTCTCGGTGGACGGCGATGGGGGGGGGGGGGGGTGGGAATCATGTGAAAGACTTCCGAAGCTCGACGCCCTAACGGTCGGTTGTACGTTTCAGCTTGAATACAGTGATTGCGGTGGCTTGAAGGCATGTCTGAGGATCGCGCTAGTCTGGTTCCTGTACACGAATACGAAAGTACTAGTGCCAAATGGGTCGACAGTTAAGAAACACCAGGAAGGATTCGTCAAAAACTGGCTGCAGCTTAATTTGCAAGACCCTAGTCTCCTTGTTGTGTGATTTCCATGCACGGAAGTGCCATATCTGTGGTTGTCCTGAGAACGAAGGGAATCGTTTACACGATTTCTGCCTGAGTTGTGCCTTTGAAGACGGAGTCAATTCGTGAACGCTACGGGATGTGGTCAGATCACCTACCAACGCCCTTCCACCCATCATACTGCCAGCAGCTACTGCCATTAGACGATATTTCGGTCGTGCGGGAAGTTTTGAGCTGGACGATTGTTTTAACCACATTGAACCGTATATTGGTGCCGATCGTAGTAGCTAATCAATCCTAGAACAACCTTGGAAGTTCTGTTGACGTTCGTGTACACACCGGCAGTTGTTTTAGACTGCTCGTGCAAGTCTGGTGTCCTCAAACTCACAGCAGAAAACCCCAGTCTGCGACTGGCTTCGCCTGGATTCCTTGGCGGAGCTCCAACGTACTGTCCTAATCTCAACTGCTCATGGATTGTGGAATTCTCACCGGACTACGAACTCATTTCAAACATATCGGTACTTAATCTTCGTTCTATTGACACACAACCAGATCTGCTGACAGTGATGGACAACTTTGGCAGAATACTTATGCAGTAAGCGAAATTCACTTTTTACTCTAACAACTTTAATTAACAACCTAACAGTATGATGAGGCCGGTATGCCCCAACTAATTTAGGAAAAACATGTTGATGTATGGAGATGTACCTGAGTCAGTAACCACGTCTGGTCAACTTTCATTCAACCTGATCACTTCTCCACTGACAGCGTTTCCGCCCACGTCTGCAATGCCAGGATTTCTGATTGAAATGACTCTCGTCAAAAGTACGATTTTTTTCGTGAATTTAATTACCAAACACGTTCAAGTCAAAGTGGTGAGCCGTTTGACGTCTTGTACTAACAATTAGTTCATTATCAAGGCGATTCAATTTAGGCGGGGACCGCAGTCACTTTCAGGGAACCTTTTCTCCTGAATTTTGTCATCCTTTTGCGATGAGTGGGGTGATAGCTATTCAGGCCAGCGTCGACCAACCGATTTAAAGGACGTCTTCCACGCCAACCAAACTAGCAGAGCATCGCCGACCATTGTCCTCTCCCTACTACTTCAACCCTTCTTCCAAGTGACAGTGAGGAGCGGCCCACTAATGAGAAATCTTTATAGCAGGGTCAATTGCTCGTTGTTCCAATTTTGAAAATTTCCATGATCCACCATGCTCCCGCTCCCTTCTTGGGGGCTTCGACACAACACTTCACAATTACAAACTACCTTGAAGGTCCATAATACGACCTCCCCCTCCGCTATCGTCACCACTAGAGGCTCCTTCTTCAACGTTTTACTCAGACCACTCCAACTCTGTACAGTTTCCCGTAGGAAGCCCCTCAAAATCGATTCCATTCCCATCCACTGCAGCGCGTCCCCCCCCCAACTTCCTTTCACGATGCCTTCCCGAAATCTCAATCTCAAATAGGATCCCCTTGTCCAGATCACCAACGCACAAAAGCCAACCTCCGAACAATCCAAAATACGACTACCCCTCCACACACTGCTCCCCACCAGGGCCAACCGTGACGTTCGCACATTTTCAGAAATTTCGCGTCCCCCCCCCCTCCCACCACCACCATGAGACATGAGACTAGGATGCTTCCACTCTACGATCCAGGGTCAAGCGTGCGTTGAGGAATCCTCGACACGTCACAGGGGGGGGGTCGTATTGGCCCGCTGGGAGGAAGAGATCGGGCCGGATTGACGCGTAGGATCATCACCATCGGAGGACAAACATCAAGGGTCGATGCCAGGCCAGAGGATTTCCAATAACAATGTCATTCTGCCCACATTCGTGATTCAGAGATGTCCGCTTAGCAATTCTTAGTTACTTGTCCTCTGACGGTGATGATCCTGGTTTTGTCACCATACAAGTTAAACAATTTCGAAATAATTCGCACTTTTTCCAATTTTTAATAATTATATTATTATATATATATTAATTGATAATTTTTTTTAATACTTTTTCCAAGGATATTTTATCTTTCAAGTGAGTCCTCGAATCTAAAGGGATGTGAAGCACATGGCGCATCCCAGAGTGGGCTTAATTGGTTGCGCGCACTTCAACTACGGCTCTCTGAAGAAAGAACCTCAATTCAGGAAAAACTAAGAGGATTCTGAAAGGATCCGTGTGAAATTACAGTTAGGAGTACACCATTCAAAAAGAAACACAGTCTTCAGCGTCAAATTCTTAAGCACGTAACCCTTAAAGTTGAGATACACTAAACTATTTTACACTTCTTGGAAGAGAGAAGCAGGAGCATTTCGAATCTGCTCCTACTTTAGTATGTAATCGCCCCTGAAAGGAGCTATAGCCGTTGAAATAGTGCCAATGTAGCGAAAAAGTACCTTTCGGCGGTACTCGGGCAAAAATCCTCAACGTGGCCATTTTTTAATACTGAACGTATTTAGCAGTTCTAGAACTTTAGATAGAGCAAATCTTCTAGTTTATGATGACGTATTAACTTTCCAGATTGGATGAGTTTGAACGGAGTTATGGCTTTGGAAAGCGTAAAAACTCGCACTCATCACAAATTTTCCTCGTTAATTTTGCAAAAATCCTCAACGTGGCCATTTTTTAGTACTGAACGTATGAAGCTTGCTTTAGTGAAGCGTTTGATAGAGAAAGTCTTCTAGTTTTGTCTGCCATATTAGCTTTTCAAATTTGACGAAAATGAAGCAAGTTATGGCTTCGGAAAGTGTAAAAACTCATGCTCATCATGAATTTTCCTCGTTAATTGATCTAAATTTGTTATTTCTTATAAATTTTTGTAATTTCAATGATTAGAAAAAGCTCTTCACAAAACTCCAAATCTGCTTTCAGATTGAAAATTCGTCATTTGAAGAAAGTTATAATCATTTGAATATTTGTTCAAATTTCAATAGTACATAAGCTGCTCCACGGTCAACGCCAAAGATCAGTCAGCACACAGCTGGCTAAGGCGGTTACAAGGCTTTTATCAATTGAAAGGGGGACGTTTAAATTGAGAACCATGATCTGTGTAGTACTAGAATTTGGTAAGTGTTATGAAGGAAATAAATAGAAGAAGAGATGTTGTCATAGTATGCCATTTTTAGTGGCTAGTTTGTCGTTTTTGCTCCTTTTCTCGTTTGCTCGTTTGGTAGGCTCATCATTAATGATCATTCTTTGACTTTTTCACTTTTTTAGTTCCTATAAGAATTTTTTGGTGGACGGGGTTGCAGGGCTCTTTTGAACATTTTGGGTGAGAATTAAACAACCTTTTCATAGCTCTGTTTTTGAAAAGGGTCGTTTCATGGACTTCGGCCCTCTGGGGGAGGGAGGGGGGGGGGTCGTATTTCCAAATTTTCCTCGACGGTTCGCTTGACCCTGTCTACGATCCCCTTCCTCTTTCTCCCACCACCACCCTCACCATCATGGGTGTTTCTCAGTATTTGATTCTGAGACCAGTCCCTACAGCCCAACTCCGCCCAGCTCTCCTCAAAAAAGGCGTCGAGCGGGGGGTATATTAATGAAATGAAAAAGCAAATATTCTCTACTGCTCCCTCCTATCCTACCTCCCAATGACATCCAAAACACCCTTAAACCATTCACCCAACAAACTACTGATCCCGCTCAACCCCTGAATGCAACCCCCACCCTTACCAAAACCGAACACAAATGCGAACCCCTCGTTCGAATAGTGCGAACGCGCGCACGGTTGACCCTGCTTCCCTCACCCAACCCCGTTGAGATTGCGTAAACTGATAGTTGATCCTGCCATTTCGCTTGCTCTCTTCATCGCTGATCAAAATCTATCACACTTACATCCTTTCATTTCCAAACGAAAGCCCACAGCGAGGTAAATGGGAAATCCGCGCGGTTTTGGGGTTGCTGTCTTTTAGGCGATTCTCTAAAAGTGGTATAGTGTCCAGTAAATTGCGATTTGCGGGAGTGCCCAAAATATGTATAAACATAGCTGAGTTTAATTTCATACAATTTCCAATCTTCTTCTAACGATCTTCTTCCAGAATTTTTCGAACGAAGACCATCGTTTTGACGGATGAGAAGTTTATGGTTGACATATCGACAGAATCATTTGCTGCAGGGCTCAACATGACATATGAGTACATTATCACTGCTCGTCCACCAATCGAAAGGTGAAGCCGCTCATAATCGTTGGATCCCGATCCCGTAGGCAAAACGTTAATGTCAAAAATCAGCCTAAAAATGAAATGAAAATGTTTGAATTAAAGACGTATGTCAGAAAAAGGGTAGCCCAGCATAGCAGAAGTTATATATCTGTTTTTATATACAATCTGCAGGTGACCTTATATTTTTTCACACCTACGTATGGAATGGTGAACCTGGACGTGTACGATGGTGCTGATGCTACCTCAGATAAGATCTATACATGGTACGAAAAACGTTTTCAGTATGGAGCAGCTCTCTGTTAAAGCCGCGAGTCGGGTTTAGGTTCCGAGATCCAGTCCATTCTATGTAGAGTGAGAAAGAGGGGTCTCCGGAGGCACCACACTGCAGCGACTCGAAGTGCAAGGCACCGCCGCTAGGTCTTACCAGAGTCAACCCTGCGTTGCGCAGTTCGCAACGGCACGTTGAGAGATCCTCAACGCACGCTGTATGGGCGGAGACGCAGACGGCTCGAGCATGCGAGTGTGAATGTTCGCGCGAGAGAACGTGTCTAATCGGGCGAAACTGCGCAACGTGGCCGTTGAGAACTGCGCAACGCAGGGTTGACTCTGGTCTTACCTTGTATGCTGCCATCTTATCAACCACGGCATACGTAGTCTCTGAGCGCTCTCGCATAAAACGTATTATCTCACGTTGTCTCACTCCTCGCTATGTCCCTCCGTTATCCACTAATGTTTCCTCTTTGCATTCCTTGCCTTTTCGAAAAAAAAAGACATCGCATTAATTCAATAACGTCTCGTACCTTAAAGGCAAGATTCAAGCTACACTGATGAGGTAATTCTACTCAAATGTGATCGGCGGAGGTGGACGCGCCAGTGAAGAAAGAAAGAAAAAAATTCGTGAAATACACAGGAAATACGAGCCTTTTGCTCTACGTTGCGGAGAAGTTCAAAAGGCCGGCAGGGAGATGAGAGATAATGTGAGCGCGGAGAGCGGTAGAGAAATCCGAGAAGAGAGAGCATAGCAGATCAGCATTGCGACGCAGACAAAATATCGAGCGGTAGGCGGAGCGTGGTGTGTCGAGCGTGCTTTTAGTTCCTTAACCCCTTAGGTTGCCTTAGTGACGTGACGGATTTGGATGCGGGAACTTGGCCAGTCGCCTTCACTTGCATCCCATGCACTTCTAGCAACTTCGAGGGTTTATTAGGTGGGTCTGAGCCCGAACTTTGCCTTCAAATTAGGAAGTCGTTGAATCCTACTGTGAAGGAGAAATTTGTTCAACTTCTACAAATCCAAGCGGAAGTTGCCGATTCCAATTGATCATAATCAATGATAGATGCTCTATCATTCCATTCATTGAGTTGCAATATTTCTAGGTGGTTGTACGAAAAGTTGGATAGTGCTGCTCCAAGAATTTTCATCGACTGGTCAACATTTGTTGGTCAGAGTTCGACCAAATATTTACAATACCAAATCAACACTGGATTTCCAAGCAATGGTCACGGATTGGCAGCCAGGTATAGTTGCTGTAATAACAATCAAATAATGACCAAAAAGAATCAAGTTCAGAAGTTGGCACTATCTCCTAGAAATCGCTAGCTCAAAAGGGATGGGAAAGGATCGTCTATAGCGGGCATAGCGCTGTTGAAAAAGCCTTACAGTGCTTGTCTTGTTGCTCATTTAACAGGGATCAGATAGAGCCAATTCTGAGGATTACTCGCAGTCTGTAGCTAAATAGAACTTACCCTAATCGTACTACTACCTATGGAAACGAGGCGTATTTGGGATGGGTCATTGATTTTATATAAGAAGAGAGAGAAGAGAGAAGGTGAAGAAAGAGTTCAGCAAGGGTTTAAGGACTTATCGATGAAGATTTTGGGATTTACCAGTAATTTTCCTGCAAATCTAGGAAATTGTAGAGAATTCAAAAGGATTCCAGCTGAAATATCGGTGATTTTCTCTTTCCTACCGTAGATAATCTACCGCGCGTCCTTTCTTTCAAGGCTTAACGCGAGAACAGAGGACTTTCTTGAGACCATAGATTTCGTCGAAAGTTTATTGTGTGTAATTTTAGCCATTTTTATAGACAGTTCCAGTACTGGGCCATCTGTAGTGGATTCAGTCGGCCGCGTGTGAAAAATTCCGATTACGAAGTCCAGAGTCTATTGAATTTTCCTATATCCAAGGCAAATTCCGCAGTTAGCGAGGTAGTAACATTAGAAGTGTTCCGCTGTCGCTAAGGTACGGCGTAGAAGCGCTAGGCAATAAAGGTAAAGAGTTTACCCTTTATGGCTCCTGTAGCCTCGCGTGACTGCTTTCGCCCATCATTGTTATTAGTATAATGTCTGCGTCTCTGGCNGCCTGCGGATTCGCTCGTCGTGGCATTTATCCCATTTGGCTCACCCATCGCATAAAATGCNACTTTCAATGTTTTCAGCGGTGGTACAGCACAACTCTATACTCACAACTTCAAGTAAAGTGCCATCGCAAAATATGCTTTCAACTTTGTCGCTTTTTTCAGACAAGCAGTGCCCGCCAATGGTTTGGACAGCGGCAACTGTTGGCCAACAGACATCTATCCAGCTTACAGGAAACCAGTGTATCAACGTAAGGACTGCTGATTTCCAGTTTGTGCTTTTCGAAAAAGTATGATAAGTTGGTAAAATGGCGATTAATCACCACGCATGTTCTGAAGCGTCGAGTGCGGTTTTTATGACGTCACTAAATGTTGTTAATGGAATAGACGCCTCATCGCAGGAGGTTTGGGTTAAGCCTCCTAACCTCCCTCTTCTACCAATTACGCCATCAAAACGGTATGCCCTCTAACAATCTTGATTACAGCCTTACAATAAGCATTTAAGTACGAACAGACCACAGCGGCGAGATTACAGCCGAGATCAAGGCTACCATCATTCACAGCAAAAGTACATAGTAATGGCTTTCATGGATATGATGCTGAGTAGTCGAAGTGAAATCCGACTAAAGCATCTGGAGGCAGATTGCGCCAGTATTTTCACTCCCTCGGGGCTGAGCGAGAGCGAACTTAAAGCACCAGGTCACAGAACTGGGTTTTCACATCGTTTTAAATAGGCGTGAAAAAGATGAACTAGCAAAGTGAAGTACATAAGAAGTGTCACTGAACTACTTGTAAGTTAATTCAGAAAGTCGCTAGAAGGGAGTCGAACGCTCTCGAAATAGGAGGGGCGACCGAGCCTCGGGCGCGACGCCCACTTGCAGCCGTGGATAGCAGGCAGGGTCAAGCGAGGCGTTGAGGAAAATTTGGAAATACGACCCCCCCCCCCCCCACCACCCTCCGCCGGAGGCCGAAGTCCATGAAACAACCCTCTTCAAAAGCCGAACTATGAAAAGGTTGAAAAGCTTGTTTAATTCTCCCCCAAAACTGCTCATAAAAAAGCCCTGCTACCCCACCGCCCACAAAAAAAAATTCGTTTAAGAAGTACAAAAGTGAAAAAGTCAAAGAATAATCATTATTGATGAGTCCTACCAAACGAGCAAACGAGAAACAGACCAGAAAACGACAAACTAGCCACTAAAAATGGCATACTATGACAACATCTGTTCTTTATTTATTTCCTCCACAAGACTTACCAAATTCTAGTACTACACAGATTGTGGTTCTCAATTTGCACGTAGCCCTTCAGTTGAAAGAAGCTTTTTAACCGCCTTCGCCAGCTGTGTGTTGACTGGACTTTGGCGTTGACCGTGGAGCAGCTTATTTACTATTGAAATTTGAACAAATATTCAAATGATTATAACTTTCTTCAAATATGACGAATTTTCAATCTGAAAGCAGATTTGGAAGTTTTGTGAAGAGCTTTTCTAATCAGTATTGAAATTACAAAAAGTTATAAGAAATAACAAATTTAGATCAATTAACGAGGAAAATTCGAGATGAGCACGAGTTTTTACACTTTCCGAAGCAACAACTTGCTTCATTTTCGTCAAATTCGAAAATTTATTCTTAT